GTGTTCGGTAGGATTCTGACATGAACGCGCGCGTGTGCTCTTTGTGGTATTTTTTGCAATGGATTATCGCCGTGGACGACAGGACGTCCATGTCGAGAGGAAAAAATAAGAAAAATGTTGATTTTGTATTGTTTTTTACAGGTTAGGATGGGACCACCCGGATGCGCCCGCTATCTGCCGGCCTGAGGGGGGAGTAGGAGTATATTCTAATAAGGAATAAGGATAGGAGTAGGAGGAGTAGGAGTAGGAGTAGTAGGAATAGTAGTAGTGGTAGTAGTAGTAGTAGTAGTAGTAGTAGTAGTAGTAGTAGTAGTAGTAGTCGTAGTAGTCGTCGTCGTAGTCGTAGTCGTAGTAGTCGTAGTACTCGGTTTAGTCGTAGTCGTCGTCGTCGTCGTCGTCGTCGTAGAACTAGTAGTCGTAGTAGTAGCCGGCTGTCGGAGTCGGAGTCGTAGTGGTGGTGGTGGTGGTGGTGGTGGTGGTAGTGGGGGTGGTGGTGCTGGTCGGAGTAGTCGTAGCAGTGTGGGGTTCGGTGTGGTAGTGGTGGTCGTCGCAGGACCTCTCGCAGAAGCAGAACTCCACCGGCCTGGCGCAGGCCCGCGCGTGCGGCAGCCAACGCGCGCGCTGGGGCGGGCCTCTTCGGAGGGCTGTGGTTGCAGAGGCGAGGGGCGCGGAGGAGGGGGCGGGGTGGGGGGTGGGGGAGGGAGGGAGGTAGGGTCTTGGAGGCCACGTTGTGCGGTCGATGTTTTTGATTTCCCAACCATCCTGTGGCGTTGGGTCTTTGTTCTGGAGAGAGCGCTCCGCGCCTCCCGTCCTCTCCTCCTCCCATGTCGACACCATTTCGGCATACCCCTCACACATTCCGTGGCACCGCAAGAAAGCTCCACCGAAAGCCCCAGTAGCACAGTCCACTTGAGTCCCCCCGCCCCATCTCGGCGCACCCCTCGCACGTTTCGCGCCCCCACTGGGAAATCCACGGAAGGCCCCAGAGGCACAGTCCACGTGCGTCCCCTGCCCGATGTCGGCACACCACTCACGCGTTTCGTGCCCCCCTGAGGAGCTTCACCGAAGGCCCCAATGGCACTGTCCACATGCGTCACCCCGCTCTATTTCCGCACACCGCTCACACGCTTCGTGGTCCTTTAGAAAGCTCAACCGAAGACCCTAGTGGCACAGTACACGTGCGTCTACCCGCCACATTTCGGCACACCCCTCACACGTTTTGTGCCCCCATACCTAGCTCCACCGAAGGCCCCAGTGTCAGGGGCCACATGCGCCCGCCCGCTCCACTTCGGCACACCCCTCACGCGCTTCCTGGCCCCATAGTGAGCTCCACCGAAGGCCCCAGTGGCACAGTCCACATGTGTCTCCCCGCCCCATTTCGGCACACCCCTCAAACATTTCGTGGCCCCATAGGTGGCTCAACCCACGGCCCCAGTGGCACAGTCCACATGCGACCCCCCGCCATATTTCGGCACACCCCCACAACTTTCGAGGCCACATAAGTAGCTCAACCGAAGGCCCCAGTGGCACAGTTCACATGCGTACCCCCGCACCATTTCGGCACACCTCTCACACGTTCGTGCCCCCCTAGTCAGCTCTCACACGTTCGTGCCCCCCTAGTCAGCTCCACCGAAGGCCCCAGTGTCAAGGGCCACATGCGCCCGCCCGCTCCATTTCGGCACACCCCTCACACGCTTCCTGGCCCCATACCAGAGGGAACTCCCCCGAAAGCCCCAGTGGCACAGTCCACATGCGTCCCCCCGCCCTATTTCGGCACACCCCTCACACGTTTCGAGGCCCCATATGGGAGCGCCACCGAAGACGACTCTCACAATTGAGCCACTCACAGCTGCATGTGTTTGTGTCCTTCGCCGGGCTAATTGCATGTTTTCGCCTTGGGCTGGAAGACCGCATTAGGTGCGGCGGATCCTTTGGACATCCACTCAGGGCCGCCACTTGAGAGCCGGCGGGGGCGCCATACCCGCGACCGTTACGGGGGGGGAGGAGGACGGAGGAGGTGGGAGGAGGTAGGAGGAGGGAGGGGGAGGAGGAGTGAGGGAGTGGATGTGGATAGGGAGGAGGAAGACGGATGAGAGGGACTGATGTGGAGGGAGAGGATATGTGTGGTGGTGGGGTGATGGAAGGGAGGATGGGGATGAGGCTCATGAGGAATAGTAGAGTACCCCCAACGTGTACCAACGGTGCTGTAATACACCGTGCCGTCCCACGCTCCCTCCTGAAAAGTTCTCGCGTCTATTGACATTTCACTATACGGAACGCCCCGCTGTCGTCGACGTGGCCATCGTCATCGTCTTGGTCGTCTTGATCGTCTTGGTCGTGGCCATCGTGGCCATCGTGGTCCTCGTGGCCGTCGTCGACGTCGCCGCCGTTGTCGCCGTCGCCGTCGCCGTCGCCGTCGCCGCCGTCGCCGTCGCCGTCGCCGTCGCCGTCGTTGTCGCCGTCGGCGTCTCCGTCTCCGTCGCCGTCGCCGTCGCTTTCGCCGTTGCTATCGCTATCGCTGTCGCCGTCGCCGTCGCCGTCGCCGTCGCCGTCGCCGTCGCCGTCGCCGTCGCCGTCGTCGCCGCCGTCGCCGTCGCCGTCGCCGTCGTCGTCGTCGTCGTCGTCGTCGTCGTCGTCGTCGTCGTCGTCGTCGTCGTCGTGGTCGTGGTCGTGGTCGTCGGCATCCTCTTTCCCGTCTTCCTTCTGCACGCCGTCCTGTTGCTCCCATTCGTCATCCTTATCTAAAGCTTCCAGTGCCTGGCCACAGGGCGGCGACCGCTCCTTTGCATTCTCTGTGTTGCCGTGTTTTGCTTTGTCTCGACACGAAAATCTTTGCTCGCTCCTGCTTGGGTCGCCACGAGGCCTTGCATCCCTGCACGGCCTCGTCTTCTGATGGCACCCGGGCGCTCCCTGCTTGTAGCATCTCGCTGGGGCCTCGGCTGGTGCTCGCCGCTACAAGACCTGTATAGTCGGAGGGGGGCCGCTTTCCTTTTCCCTCCTTTTTCCTGCGCGTCCTTCGTCCCCTTTTCCTCCGTTCCTTTTTCCCTCCTTTTTCCTTCCTTTTCCCTCCTTCTTCCTTTCTCCTCTTGCAGTGCGCCTGACATGTTGCACAGTAGCCCTGTGTTCGCCCGACCGATCTGCGCGAACGTCAGGCCCGCGACAATGAAGTCTGCTCGTTTTGCTCCGTTGTCTTCCGTCCTGGTGCGGCGTGTTTCTTGCGGGCACGATAGGGGGTCGTACGGCTACGCTGCGGTGGAATGCGTGCGTGACTACAATCCCCCTCTCTATCTTCCTTTACTCACTTTCTTTATACTTTTGACTCCCTTTCCTCACTTTTTTTTCTCCGTTGTCGGGTCAGTCTGTCTCGCATCCATGACCGTTCGCTCGTCTACCTTCCCCACGCCTCCCCCTTTCTCGGCGGCGAGCCTGGAGGGGATTTTCAGCGGGGCAAGCCTTCTCAGACGGCGGGCTCTTCAGACGCCCCTGCGCCTTCCGAGAGGTTCTGTGAACTCCTCCCCGAGGCAGGGGCGGCTCCTCGGAAGAGGCGCCGGGGGCTTCCGAGAAAGCCTGCCGCCCTGCGGCAAGGCTTGCCCCCTCTCGCTGCCCCCCCCCCCCGGTCGCGCCGCCGAGGTCCGCCCCCCAGCAGGAGTCCGTGGCGGAGGATAGAGGAGGAGGAGGAGGAGACAGGAGGGCGGAGGAGGAGGAGGAGGAGGAGGATGAGGAGGAGGAGGCGGAGGCGGAGGCGGAGGCGGAGAAGGGCGGAGGAGGAGGAGGAGGAGGAGGAGGAGGAGGAGGAGGAGGAGGAGGAGGAGGAGGAGGAGGAGGAGGAGGTCGAGGACAACCCGCTCCCTCCCCCAGCGCCCCCCGCGCTGCCCGCCAGCTCGCCATGCGCATGGCCTCCGTCGTCCGCGTCACCAGCGCCAGCGGCGACGATCCCTTCGCGAAGATCCTCGAGGGCTCCGCCCGGGCCGCCCGACCCTTTCGCCTGCATGGGGGCGCGAAGAGGAGCGCGCTTCGCGCTTCGCGCTTCGCGCTTCGCGCTTCGCGCTTCGCGCTTCGCGCTTCGCGGTGTGGGCCAGGGAGGTGCCTGCCGCGGGGTGCCCTTCTCCGCGGAGGCCTCGCGGTCTGGGGGCTTCGGTGGCGAGCCCGGGTGGGAAGCGAGAGGGGGCGGGGCTTCTCAGAAAGCGGCGGGGCTTCTGACGAGCCCCGCCCCGATTTTCTTCTCCCCCGGGCTCGCCGCCGAAAGAAGGCTCGTGGTGCCATTCTGGTGCTTCGGCGCAGACACGAATACGCCTGGACAGCCCGCGACAGGGGGCTGGTGTATCAAGGGCCTGATTTCCGACATGATCGAGAAGCTGGAGGCGGAGGATGCCCTCCCCGCCGGGTGGCGCGCTCTTTCGCGTCCCCCCCCCGTTCTACACTTGCGCTGCACACGCTTCGTGTGAGTATGCAGGTGCCTCCAGTTGTGTTGTGGCCCTGAGGCTTGTGACCGCGCTCTTCGATAGCATGGACGTGGATGTAGTCAAGGGGATATGTTTTCTGGGTCGCTCTTAGATTCGGATCGGTGAGCCTATTTGTGATCGAGGCTCGCCGATGCCTGAAAAGCCCCTTCGTTCCATGTTGAGCGTTCCGTATGGTGACACGAGGACTGCACAGAGGCTGTTCGTATTTCCCAGCTTTCCTGTAGAGTGGGGTTCCTGTTTTGATTCTGCTGCGCCGCGCGTCTCCTTCCTTCGCCTTCTCCTCCTCCCCCTCCTATTTGTTGTCTTCCCAATCGGCGTGCTCTGTTGTTGTTATGGTTGTGGTTGTGGTTGTGGTTGTGGTTGTGGTTGCTGTTGTTATTATTGTTGTTGTTGTTGTTGTTGTTGTTGTTGTTGTTGTTGTTGTTGTTGTTGTTGTTGTTGTTGTTGTGGGTGTGGTTGTTGTTGTGGTTGTGGTTGTGGTTGTGGTTGTGGTTGTTGTTGTTGTTGTTGTGGTTGTGGTTGTGGTTGTGGTTGTGGTTGTGGTTGTTGTTGTTGTTGTGGTTGTGGTTGTGGATGTCGTTGTTGTTGCTACTGCTGTTGTCGTTGTTGTTGTTATTGCTGCTGCTGCTGCGATAACGGATGCGCTTTTCAATTGAAGTGCCCTTCTTGGGGCTCGCACCCTGTTTTTTTATCAGGGAAGGTCTTCCTCCTCAAATTGCGTTGTTCGCCCTCGAACTACACCAACAACGGCTCCCTCTGATACTTCCTGTCAATGTATTCCCACATCCCGCTCTCGCGCGGGACTTCCTCACAATTAATACAGAACTTGCGCTCTCTCGTGGGACTTCTTCGCAATTTATTCAGACGCCGCGCCCTCGACATTCAGGAATCACGCTCTCCCTGTGGATTTCCTCACGATTGATTTGGGAATCGAGATGTCGCTCGAGAAGTCCTCGCGATTCATCCAGGACGCACGCTTCAGCAACCTGCCTGCTCGACCTGGCCGCCTGGGCCCTCCTTCCCGACCCGCCTGGTAGGGTTTACCCGCCCGATCTGCCCGTCTGGTTCTGCCACGTGCTTTTTGCCCCTAGCTCCCCTCCTAGTCCCTCTCGTGCTCCATCCTTCTCCCTCCCCCTTGTCCCTTCCTTCCATCCGTCCCCTCTTCCCCTGCCTCAGTGGCTGCACGAAATACACGTTGCAGGTAAGAATACCCCCAAGGGAGTACGGTCGAAGACGAAGAGGGCGGGTTATCGAGGGTTCGGGATATACGTGTTGAATGGCATGCGGGCAGATAAGAGTGAACAGTCTCAACTGTTTGTTGTTGTTGTTGTTGTTGTTGTTGTTGTTGTTGTTGTTGTTGAGCATTATTAATTCTAAAGAATAATTATTGTTGGGCCCCCTGGTGCGCGCCCCCCCCGCCGCGCCTAGGCCGCAGCCACGTTTTCATCATTTTCGTGAGGAAGCCTCAGGTAATTCGAGGTGATCAAGATCCGGTTGTTTTGTTGTAATCCGTTTTCCCTTGCAAAAAACACTATAAAATGACATTTCTTGTTCTAATATAATCAAATTTCAAGAATCCCTTGCAAAAAATAAGGTAAAGTGGACATTCGCGCGCGCAAGACGAAATCCTTCCAAAAGCTTAGTGTTCGGAACGATTTTAACATAAAAACATCAAAAAACCAATGGTTTTTCAACAAAAAAATGTCAAAATCTCATCCCGCGCGCTCTTGCGGATTCGTAGGAAACCCAACACTTTTTCAACATTTCTGTCAAACGGGTTTTTGCGAGCAACTTTTTCGAACTTCTGCGACAACGGTTGCGCACCTGCCAGGGCCATCATCCCTGTCAAATAATACCATGCGGGACACATTCGTTTTTTCTTCGCGCGCGCACGCCGAAATCTCCAAAAACCATTGGGTTCTGTGGGTGTGTACCCCACGCCAGTGTAGTAGCCACGGTCGTCCGCACGCCACGAAGTGAAGTGTCCCAACGTCATAGGGCGGGAAGCTGGGTTTGGGTGGTCGCGAAGAGTCGTTTGGATATTTGGTAGAGCTTGTAATGCCCCCCCACGAAGTGGGGGTATTGCCTGGTGTCGTATGAAAACCCTGGCACTGGGGAGAACACCACGCGTTCGGGTAAAATGATTGTTGTTGTTGTTGTTGTTGTTGTTGTTGTTGTTGCTGATGTTGTTGTTGTTGTTGCTGCTGCTGCTTTTGTGGTTGTTGTTGCTGCTGGTGCTGGTGCTGTTGCTGTTGCTGTTGCTGTTGCTGTTGCTGTTGTTGTTGTTGTTGTTGTTGTTGTTGTGGTTGTTGTTTTTGCTGTTGTTGTTGCTGCTGTTGGTGTTCTTATTATCATTGTTGTTGGTATAGCTGTTGCTGGTGCTGTTGCTGTTGCTGTTGCTGTTGCTGTTGCTGTTGCCCGTTGTTGTTGCTGCTGTTGGCGCGTGCCACCCGTATTTACCTCCCGCCTGTTCCTTCCTTCTTTTCTGCTGCTGCGGCTGCGCTCCCAGCTTCCATCGACCCATTCGGCGCACCCCTCACGGTGATCGTGCCCCGTGTGCCCAATTCGGCACATCCTTCACGCGGATCGTGCCCCATAAGGGAGCAGAGCACCACCTTTGGCCCACTTGGGGGAGCTCGCGTGGGGTCTCCCCCGTATTTCGTCACACCCCTCACACGGATCGTGCCCCATGGGGAGCACCACCTGCGGCCCCAGGTGGACCATGCCGGCGCGGGCACTCCAGGATGAGCACCCCACGGGTACCCGTCTCGGGCCCAGGGGCCCACGGCAAGACATCCACACACGAAACGTCTATTCGACAGCTGGTGGAGATCTTGGAGCGCGGGGATCGCTCAAGGTCGACCGGTTCTCGAGATGCCAACAACCGGGCCACACGTCGTCAACGCAGGAACCCGCCGCCCGTCGATTCAGCAGCGTCTCGATTGTTTTTTTGCGCGGCATGGTGTGTTTGGTGGTTGGATGATTGTGCCACTCCTCCCGCGGCGTTGGGCTCTAGTTGTCTCTCCTCTGCGCCGCGCGTCTTATTTCTCTCCTCCCTCCTTCGCCAGTCCCTGCTGCTGTTGCTGCCGTGCGGCCTGGTGCATGCTGCTGCTGACAGTCTCGGTACACCCCTCACACGTTTGTGCCCGACAGGGAGCTCCGCCAGCGGCCTCAGTGGGGGCGCGCCTGCGCGGTCCGCGCCCCAATTCGGCACACCCCTCATACGTTTCGTGCTCCACACGGGGGCCCTTCGTACGGCGCCAGCGGGTGTGTTCCGATGCGGTCCGTGTCTCCATGCAGCATCCCTTGTGCGTTTCGTGGTCCATAGCTCCATCTGAGGCCTTAGTGCGGGCGTTCCTGCGCGGTCTGCGCCTGAACTCGGCACTCCACTCACGTCTCGTGCCCCAAACAGAGTTCCACCTACGGCCTCAGTGCGGGCGTTCCTATGCGCCTGCGCCTGACATCAGCGCACCTCTCACACGCTTCGTTTTCCACACGGGGACCTCACCTGCGGCCTCAGTGAGGGCGTGCCTACGCACTCTGCGTCTCAGTTCAGCACGCCCTTCATTCGTTGCCCTCGTGCCCCACATGAGGGCTCCACCTACGGCGCCCCGCCTGCTGCATTGATGCGAGCGTTCCTACTCGGTCCGCGCGCGCCTGAATCTGGCACACTCCTCACGCGTTTCTTGCTCCAGAGAGGGCTTTGCCTATTGCTGCAGTCCGGACGTTCCTACGCCTATGCGGTCCATGCCTCACTGCGGCACACCGTTCAAACGGCTCGTTGTCCACTGGGTCTCCGCCTGTGGTCCGAGTCTCAGTAGCGGTGGTTCTAGGCGTTCCGGGCCTCAATTTGACACACCAGCCTGGCGTTTCGTGCCCCATAAGAAGGGGCTTCGCCTGTGGCCTCAGCGAGGGAGTTCTTATTCGGTCCGCGCCTTCCTGAGGCAACCCTCGCCCTTTCCGTGCCCCCAACGGGAGTCCCTACACACGTTGTGTGCCCCGTGCCAGAATTCCGCTTACGGCCTCGGCGCGGGCGTTCCCACGTGGTCCGCGCCCCCCCCCCCCCACGTTTCGTCCTCCAAGTGGGGGCACTACCTGCGCCCGCAGTGCGGGCGTTCCCAAGCTCCACATACGGCCTCAATGTTGGGTGCCCCTATGCTTAAGTCGGGCCTGTCCCTCTGCAGGGGGAATATTTTAAAAAGATAGTCAGGGGACGATTTCTGGAGTATTTTTAAGTATTTTTTGAGTTTTTGTTGAATTTGTTTTGAGTATTCTATGATTTGTCGTCCAAAATCCCCCTGTAGGGGGACAGGCCCGACCTAACCCTGTGCGGCCCACGCCTAGAGTCGGTACACCTTGCACACGTTCAGTGCCCCACGGGGAGTTCCGTCTGCGGCCCCCCTGCGGGCGTTCCAGTGCGCTCCGCACCTCCATTCGAAATACACCTCACACGCCTGGTGCGCCATACTGTGGAGACCCATGCCAAGAAACACCCTGCTTGCCTCCAGGGTGCCCTGGGTTTTGTGGGTTTCGACGGCTTTTCGATGGAAAGCGTGGCGTTCCAATACCACAAATCAATGGACGTTCTGGGGTCTCAGGGTTGGGTTTCTTGTGGAAGGTTTCTTGTGGACTGGCCTCCACTGTAGAGCCCCAGATGGGGCCCCAGTGGGAGCGTTCTTGTGCGGTCCGCGCCCTCCCTCGGTACCGCCCGCAGACGCCCTGTGCGTTCCTAATGCGGGCCCCGTCTGTTTCACCACTCGCGTGAATTGTGCCACACATTGAGCCTTACTTGCGCCCTCAATGCGGGCGTTACTGCGCGGTTCCCGCCTCAACTTGGCACTTCCATCACTCTTGTTGTGTCCCATATGGGGCACTTTCAGGCACCAGCAGGCAGGCACACCCCGCACGCTTCGTGCCCGGGGGAGCTCGGCATATGGCCCCAGTGCGGGCGTTCCTGTGCGGTCCGCGGCTCGATTCGGCGCGCCTCTCGCACGCTTCGTGCCCGCCTCAGCGAGGGCGCTCCGCGCTTCGCTTGTCACCTCGGCACACCCCTCCCGCGTTTCGCGCCCGCCTCGGTGGCCCGCCTGAGTGCAGGCGTTCCTGTGCCCTCCGCGCCTCAATTCTGCGCACCTCTCATGTTTCGTACCCCAGAGGGGGCTTTGCCTACTGCCGCAGTCTGGGTGCTCCTATGCGGTTCACGTTCGCTTCAGCACAGCCCTCAACAGGTTCTTACCCCATGGGGACTCTGCCTGCGGTCTGAGCAGGGGCGTTTTGAGTAGTCCACGCCTCACTTCGGCACACACCTCACATGTTCTATGCCCCATGCGGGTCTCCACCCATGGCCTCAGTGAAGGCGTTCCTAACGCGGTCCGCGCCTCACTTCGGCAAACCCATCAGTCGGTCCGTGCCGCATAGGGCGCGTCACCTACGGCCTCAATTGGTCCATTCAAGTTTGGTCCGCGCCCCAGTTTGGCACACCCCTCCTCACACGTGTCGTGTCTTATACTAGGGGTCTACCTGCGGCCCCACAGAGGGAGGGACTTACTATAGCAGTCTGCTTCGGTGCTCTTATAAAAAACTACTCGACCGACTCGCGCCCCCGGTTGGGTCTTTCGCCTGCCTAGCCGCTAGTAGTGCCCAGATGGCCTGTCCACGGGATGCGCATCGTTGGTATTTCGGCGAAGCGCTATCGCCACGGGAGCGTTTCAATGTTACGTCTGTGACTCACATCGGTCATCGCATCGTCAGTGCGCAGTTTGATCTACAGGCTCTGGGTCCATGCGCGCCTTGTGCTCGAGGGATCGACGTGGTGAGTGCAGCCAGCGCGCATGCAGGCAGGCAGTCTTTCGGCCCCCAGCCGCAGCTTTACGTCCCTGCGGGAACTTCTCTTGATGATGCTATCGGATATGCACCAAACACTTTGCTTGCGCTACTGTTGCGGCACCGGTTGTCAGATGGTTCGCGCGCTGTAGTCTGATGGTAGTAGTTTGGCACTCGATGTTTATCTAGCTAGGCTGTCGCGCGTATCCGCTACCGCGCTGTGTGTGCGTGCTCCTCGGGTTCTGGCCGGTGCACGCTTTTGGGCCAATGCCATCACCACATTGCCCATGCTCTGCATCATAGCTGGGGTCACTACACCACCCATTCTCTGGTATTGTGAAGGCCTGACGGCCGGTGCCGCTGACCCTGAAAGACATCGACGACGACCAGGAGGGGGAGAAGGAGGAGGAGGAGGAGGAGGCAGTGATAAGGAGGAGGAGGAGGAGGAGGAGGAGGAGGAGGAGATGAGGAGGAGGTACCTCTCTCCTTCTTTGCACCATCGTTTCTCACTGCAGTGTAGACGTATCCTTGGCAGCGGCGTCCGACAAGGTCCGGTCGCAATTCGCGCTTCCCTTCGTGGACCGCGCCTGAGGTTCCTCTGCGCCGCTGGCTCAAAAGTGTGCATGTGTGTGTGTGTGTGTGTGTTTGTGTGTTTGTGTTTTTGGGGTGGGGGGGTGGGGCGGAGGGAGGGGGGGGTCCGGGGGAGGAGTGGGTGAAGGGCAGGGCGCAGGGAGGGGAGGGCAGGGGAAGTCTTGCCCCTCGACCGAGAAGCCTATGAAGAATCCAGGTGCTCGCGGTATGTCCCGCCTCCCTGCTAGCGCAGCGCTAAGTGTGGATATCAACGTGTTTCGTCGTCGGGCCAGGCGGCTGCCGCAGACGTCGCCGCTGTCGCCGCCGCCGCCGTCATGCTTGCCGCCGCTGCCGCCGCCGCCGCCGTCGTCGTCGTCGTCGTCGTCGTCGTCGTCAGAATTTCGAGGCGAATCCAGCCGTTGCGACGAGGGCCTCTCAGGAGGCCCATCGAGTTACGACCCATCGTCGTTGTTTTCGATTTCGTGTTCGTGATCGTTTTCGTTTTCACTGTAGTGTCGTTTTCATTTTCATTTTCGCCGTCGTGATCGTCGTGATCGTCGTGATCGTCGTGATCGTCGTGATCGTCGTGGTGATCGTCGTCGTCGTCGTCGTCTGTCGTCGTCGTCGTCGTCTGGCGTCGTCGTCATTGTGATCGTCGTCGTCGTCGTCGTCGTCGTCGTCGTCGTCAGTCGTTGCCATGGTCATTCGTCGTCGTCATAGTCGTCGTTTTCATGGTCGTCCTCGTCCTTCTCGCCCTCGTCGTCGTAGTTCTTGCTTTTGTTGTTTTCGTCGTCGTCGACGTGGTTGCCGCGCGTGGCGGCGATGGGACTGCCAGGCTGCTGCGGACGCCGAGCACAAGGCGGCCACATCCACTGCTGCTCCACTCCTTCCTCTGCTCCCGAGGGCGGAGGGATGGTTGAGACGAGGGAGGGGTGGGGAGGAAGGACGGGGAAGGGAGGAGGGTGGATGAGGACAGGGCAGGCAGGATGGAGGGAGGGAGGGAGGGATGGGGAGGAGGAAAGAGGATTATGATGATGAGGAGGAGGGATGATGATGCTGTTGTTGTTGGTAGTGGTGATGATGATGGTGATATTGATGCTGCTGCTGATGATGCTGCTGATGATGAAGATGCAGATGATGCTGATGATGATAATTCTGATTATGCCGATGATGCTGATGCTGATGATGCTGATGATGCTGAAGCTGCTACTGCTGCTGCTGCTTATGATGATGACGACGAGGAGGAGGAGGAAGATGAGGAGGAGGAAGAGGAGGAAGAGGAGGAGGAGGAGGGTGGAGGCGGAGGAGGGGGAGGATTATGCGGTTAAGTAGGAGGGGGAGGAAGCAGGAAGAGGAGGATGAGGAGGAGGTGGAGAAGGAGGAGAAGGATGAGGAGAGGGAGGAGTAGTAGTAGTAGGAGGATGATCAGGAGGAGGACCAGTTTCAACCCAAGGCGCATCAACGGTTTTTCAATGACAATACACCCTCCCTCCAAGCAAGTTCCCTCTTCACACGTCCCTGTAATAATGTACTATCATTGCGGGACGTGGCCAACTCGAAGACAACCGTCTGAGAATTCCGAGATGGTGCCAAAACGCAGTTCTGGGGATTTCAACGCCGCAGATCAACGTGACTGTTGCGTCCTGA